AAGCCATGCCCAGAAGGCTCATACCTGAACACTAGATCTGGTTCCTTTGAAATGTCCAGATGGTTCTTCTCTCCCTGGGCTAACAGACACATTCCTGGCTTAAGGTGTTACATTGCTCCTGAGACTGAGATTTCCTCCAGGTAAGGACAGGACTAACCCCTCACTTTCTTTGAATTTCTGTTCAAACGTGACCTTCTCAGTGACATCTTACTTAAACTTGCAATCTCTGGTTATGAAGGAGAACAAAATTGAGTCTTGGTTTCATTGTTTTTTATTGTATCTTTCTCAGCTTAACAGACACTGCTTAGTAAAAACAATCAAATCTCATCTTTTGGCTATTATGATTCTTATCTGCATGTTTGAGTGGGAAACTGAGACTTAGTGGTTAAATAACACTCAAGATTAGGGAAGCAAGTGTAGAATGAGTCCATGCAACTCCAGGTCTGACTCCATGGCCTATGTTTCTAACCACCAAAACACACTGTCTTCCCAAATGTCATTTTGTACAGTCGTGAGACAAGATTTTGAACTTCAGTTTTTTGAATTTTCACAGCATGGACAAGTGATTTTATAATATAGATACAAGCAGCAGGGAATCTCAAAGGAAACACAAACCAATCTCCTTATAATTACTTATTATAACTACTTATTATAACCAATCTCCTTATATTACTATATATAATTAAAAGAATATAGTAAAGTTGAAAACTATCTATTTCTAAACTTTTGGAACATTATAAGACATAAAGGTATTTTGACACTATTTTTACACTTTCAAGAGGAAAAAACACCTCATGGAGGGAAGAAAATGAGTCTCATGAGATACAGCTGTGCTCCATTCACAATCAGTGGTCAGCCTGAGGTAGGAAGCCAAGTTTAAGTCCAATCTGGGCAGTTTGGGGATTTAGCAAGACCCTGTCTCAAAATATAAAATAAAAACTTTAAAAAGCCTGGGGATATAGCCCAGTTTGAAGGTCCTGGGTTCAATACCTGCCCTTTGACTGTATACAAAAATTAGTGGACAGCTAAGTACACCTTGTGGGCCAAAGCCAAGCTACTGCCTATTTTTTGTAGGAATCCCATTGTAACCCAAGTTAAAGTCTTTGAGTATGAGGGGGATAAAAAAAAAAGCAGCATAATATTTTATGACACAAAATTAAAATCTCTGTGTGGTACTGGAATACAATTACATTCACTGATCTATGGATCCTTTCATATCACAACTGCAGAGTTGAGCAACTGTGACAGCTAATAAAAGTCCCTGAAGCCTAAAATAGTTACTGTTTGGCCCTTTTCAGGAAGTTTGCTGATCCCTGTTAAAACTTCTTCTTACTTATATTCAGTTCACTAAGACCACCTTCAGTTGTACATACTCTGCTGCTTAATGTTCCTATTTGATTTTGATTTTTCGCCATTGTACTTTTCAGTTCTAAAGGTTTCGATGTTTTAAAATCTAATATTTTACATTTCATAGTTCCCTATTCTATGCCCCTAGTTTAATCGTCTTTTATTTCTTTTAGTACATATAATTGCTTTATAAAGTATGTCTGGTCATTATGGTTTAGATCTAGAAAGTCCTCCAGAAATCTGATGGTTTCAGAGGCGGGGCTTTCAGAAGATAATTGGATCATGCAGAGTTACACTTACCAGATTCAAAACAATGATAAATACATAACTGAAGGCTTCTGGAAGGTAGGGCCTGGCTGGAAGGAGCAGGACACTGTGTTACTGCAAGGGCAGTCTCTTCAGTCTCTGCTTCCGGGCTGCCATACTGAGAGCAGCTGCCCTCTGCCCATTCTGCCTCATAGCCAGCAAAACATGGCCCGAAAACATGAGACAACAAACCTCTCTAATTTCTGGGTGCTGGGTACTGTACTTTTTCCTAGTAATGAGCAAGTAACTAAGGCATTAGTAATTCTAACTTGAGAAATCTTTGTTGAGTTCTTCTCTGTTGTCTACTGTTTTTCATGGTTCTCATTAATGAGAACTTGTTTCCATGTGTGTTTAGTTATTTTTCACTGTGAAGCACTTACTTCCTTAAAAAGTTACTTGTAGCCAGGTGTGGTGGCACACTCCTGTAATCCTAGCATTTAGGAGGCTGAAGCAGGCAGTTCATTGCAAGTTCAAGACCAACCTAGGCTACAAAGTGAGCCCAAAGCCAGCCTAAACTGCATAGTGAGACTCTGTCTCAAAAAGGCCAAAAAAAAAAAGTTATTTCTGAGGAGTTCATGTCCTTTTCCAGATGGGGTTTGGATTTGCCTCTGCCAAGTGCTTGATGGCAAAAAGCTTACACTGATCTCAGTGGCTTGAGATTCCCTAGGTCACCCAAATGATGATAACCTTGACAATCAATATCAACTGCTTTTATTTTATTTATTAACTATTTATCCTAATTCATCAAGGCCTTGGAAATTGTTTCTATAGTCTTGGCCTGGGGTTATAAATTTAATTCTAGTTTATTCTTACATTGAGTCCTTCAGGGTTACAGTTTCATAAAAAGGTGACAAATATTGGAGATGAATTAATAGAACTAAAGATCAAGAAGGTCTAAAATTTAATCAGGTTTTGAACAGAGTAGAGTGAAGGAACACAGAATGAAGCAGAGACAACATTTAAAAGATAGTTAAAAAATTTCTAGAACGTATGAATTCTTATATTTAAAAAGTTAAATAAACTTCAATCAAGATAAATAAAAAAAAATCCTTACATCTGTATTCTTATTCATAGTACACATAATCCTTTTTATATATCATAAAACTGTAAGAAGTGAATGCTAATTGTCTATATTTTTCACAAAGAAGAACTGGAATTCAGAAAGCTAAAAAAAATTATCGAAGGTCATCTAATACTGGGCAGTAGAAGCAGAATTTAAATCTAGAGACCTAAATTTTGCTAATGAATCCTCTCCACCCCACCAAAAATTAAAAATAAAAAAAAAAAATTTTAAAAAGCAGTTTCTTTAACTTGAAATTTCTCCCTAGAAGAAACTCTTTTACTTACCTGTGTTTTCTTCTCTACAGAACACTGATAGGGAAAAACTTTGTAGCAAGAGAAAGGAAAGCTGTAGTTCATACCTCAGATCATGAGTCAAATTGATGGAGACAAGCCAATTCCAAATACCCGGTTGACTCAGATATTTCATGGAACTGGCTTGGTACACAACACCAACCTACACAATTGATAATTCCATTGTGTACTATTCATCTGTCAAGAAGTAGGGGAGATGCACCCTTCTTGTTCTCCACTGCTGAAGGCAGCTTAAGCACTGTAGTCTTGTCCTCAATAACATATCTTTCGTTATTAATGTGATTCAACTTGGTAATTACTATATCTCTTCTGCTCTGGTGGCATTTCACTTGCTTATAGCTTATACTTTTTTTTCCCTCTTTACCCAGAGCACTACATTAAGGATTTTCTAAGGGGGAAGTCTATGGTTTTCTGGTACAATCAAACCCCATTCCCAGAGATGGCTGACGTCTCTCTACTAGTTGATAAAAAGAGCAGACCATTTTCCTTCATAGTTGCCTACATGATATACAAAGGCAGAGTTATGTCATCTGAACATATAATAAAAGGCACCACAGCCAAGAATCTAGGCTCTAGGAAATGGGACCAGATGTCAGACAATTCAGTGGGAAAATCAAACAGTCCTCAGTTCAAGGTCTTTTGTGTATGTGTCACTGTTACCATCTGAAGAAGCTGTGGTGAAGCCTATGCAGGAGAGGAAAAGAGACACAATTCTGATTTTTCATGGTGTCTGTCTTGTTCAGGACAGGGAATACAGACACACAAAGATAACCATGAAAAAGCCATTAATGGGCTGGGTGTGATGGACAGGCCTGTTATTCCAGCACTTGAGAGGCTAAGGCAGTATTACTGAGAATTTAAAGCCAGGCTGGGTTACAGAGTGAGTTCAAGGCTGGCCAGAATTACATAGTGAGATCTGTCTCAAAAAAACAAAAAACAAACAAAACAAAACAAGTCATGGGATGTGGTAGGGGAGTTACACAATCACTTAAATGTGAGTGGTCTCATTGTAGGGAAAGAACACTCGAGGGGTACTGGTCAAAGTGCACAATTCCTCACCCAACATCCATCCATCCATCCATCCATCTACCCAGTGCTTGCTGAGCACCAAACATACATCTGTGCTAACTAGGTACTAGAGAGACCACGAAGGCCACAACAGGGAAGAATTCTGGATCAGATAGCCTATACTTGAAAGCCCCATATGAATCAAATCCTTAAATCCTTCAGAAAATGTTGTTACATATCTTCATCCTACAGATGAAGCTGAGGCTCAAAGTGGTTAAAAAGCTTGTCTAAAATCAGAAAAAGAATAAATGGCAACCCAGAACTTGAACCAAGCTTTGCCTGGCTCTGAGTCTAAGCCCTTAATAAAGTAATAACCAGTATATAATTCATTATAGTACAATGAGATAATTGCTAACAAAGAAAATTTAAAGGGGACATAGAGGAAGAGGCAATTTTGTGTAGGGAGAAAATGATCTCTGAGTTTTCCAAGTGGACTAGGAAAGCAAGGGAGTTCGAAGCACAGGTAACAAGCACCTACAACAAGAGTTGAGGGAAAAAGAATACTTACCTGTGGCAGAAGTGCAAGATCTGAAGCTGAAGAGGACAGGGGACTGAGTACAGAAGACTTTGCATGCAGGTGGAAAAAGCATCAATCTCTGCCTTCTACTCAGTAAGAGAAACCTTTCCAGGGCTTCCTTGTCTCTGGAGCCCCTGGCAGTGATCTCCTATAATGAGCTAGTTGGCTGTGCTAGCCAAATCAAGGGGCTCATGTTTGTACTCCCCACTGTATCCTTTCTAAGCATGGACTGTAACATGCTCAAAGATTCTGCTAACAACCTGATGGACAGAGACACCAAGGGGTTCCCCACAACCACAGGGGTGACAGAGGTGCCCCTTCAAAGTAAGACCCCCAAATCTCACAGACCCTCTACCATAGAGCTAGGGCATTTTCTCGTTCTACTCACAGTTTAGAGTCCAGCTTCAGGAGGAAGCCCAACCGATCATACTCTGAAAAAGAAAAGCAGAAAATATCACAGAAGTCAAGCTACTGCTCACATAGCACATTACATTCCCCATACCTAGAGCATAGAGATGGAGAGCACTTGGAAAAGAATATAATTCAGCTGTTTTAGAAAACGAACCAAAGTGTAATCCACAACTAAACAAGACACAAATCATCTCTGGAACACCTCTTTTGTGAAGATTCAGATTCAATGCAAGGGGATTTCCCAGGTTTTCTAGGACAACTTGTACTATTCTGATAGAATTCCTTCTTGCATAAATGAGGAAATTGAAACTGTTATTAAACCACAAAACTGGACACTAGAGATGGAAGAGGGTGGGAAGCAATCTCTGCTTCCACTTAGCTCTGAGCACGCATTATTTGCTAACTAGGCCAGGATGACTACGAGGTGAATATGTGGCAATCTAGTGCTCTTCAAATCTATGTAATCACAAAGAACTGAAAGCATTACATAAAGAATAGGAAATTTAAAATAAAATTTTAAAAACAAGTCAATAAGATGTTTGCAATAAATGCTAAGTCATCAACATTTAAATATTTTGCCTCATTTTAAAGTGATGCTGAAGCAGTTTTTTATAAAATTGTATTGAAGTTTTTTTTTTAAAAGGGGCCTTGGGGGCCAGGAGAGGAAAGCATATAGAAAATAATAACCAGCAGCTTGGGGAAGCAGAATACCAAGTAAATATCCTATGTGCCTGTTGCAGTTACATCTCTATTTCCAAGATTTTCCACAGCTAAAACTAAGTGCAAAACGCTAATTTCATGGTTCATGTTGTCCATAAAATAAACAAGCAGAATTGCACCTATTTCCAGTACTAAGTCTTGAGGGAAATTTCCTACGTCCTCGAAAGTATTTGTATAATGAAAATGACACTTTGCTCAGTGACTCTGTGTATAAGGAGATGTGTGTATGTACAAGTGGCCTATGAATATAGTACTCAGCTGGCCTGGTTCACTCAAAAGATCAAACAATACCACAACCAAAAAACGGATGGGAAAGGCCAGCAAGCAAAGCTTTCGAGGAACTTGGGCTACAGTAAGCAATGAATAGAGGGGGAAGTTACACACACTGATAAGCACTGCACAGAAGTCATTCTGCAAGGCCAGTTAAGGCCAGGCTCCTGGTTTTCATTATCAGCTGAGCTGTGGTCAGAGAGCAAATTCTCTACTTAGCATCAAAGATGTCATCCAGGACACATAACTCAGTGGAGGGCTTGCCTCCCAAGAGAATCCCATTGGGCAAGCGAAGCCCAGCTCGAAATAATTCTGGCTTTGTTCTGATTCACACAAATAGATAAGAATTTTTTTTAACATATCAAGAACTCATAGAAAGCAGTAAGAAAAACACATTTTTAAAAACTAAAAACTCAATTTGTAAAAAAGCCAATTTAACAGTTTAGTACTTTTTAAACATTTCTACGTTGTCACTCCAGGCTTGTCCCCATGTGGTGACAACCTTGTGGCAGTCATCACGCCACTACTCCTCAGACCTAAGCAAGATTCCTGGATGCACAATGCACCCCATGTCCTCCAGCAAACTTCTTCCAGAGAGACAAACTCAAACTTCAGGGGCCAAGTGAGATCCTAATGCAAATAAAGGAAACAGGAGAATGTAATACCCTTTTGCAGCAACTCACACCACAGATTAAGTTATATTAAAAAAAAAAAAACTGTTGCAATGTCCTTATTCAATTCACACCCACACAGTCACACCTCCTGAACAGTAATCACAATTATATTGGTTTACTTTCAAGTAGTATCTTAAGTTTTTGAATGTTACATACACACACTGAGTACATATTCAACGAATAAAAACACTGAATTTCTAAAGTAATTTCCTTCTTTCACGGCTTTCATGACCTTTTCTTTTATGAAGAGACACAAGTATCAGAAACATTCCCTTTTATTCTTTAGGAAAAGGTAGCTTTCTTCAGTCGACCCTTTCTTGGCTTCAGTGCCAGACCCATGCCAAGGGAAGGGAGCCCATGGCACGTGCTGGTGAAGGACAGCACCTCTCAGCTCTAGCTAACTTGCCAGGCAGCAATACAGGCACAGCACTACACATCTGAATTTTCAAGATTTTTAAATTTTAAAGTAAAATCTCTCAATCTCTAAATACTGACAGGAGATTCAAGAAGTTGTAGTTATATGACCAGCTACAACATGGCTTTGGGCATGGGCAAAATTTGACCAGCACCTACCAGTCTGTAAGTAATGCAAGCTGTGGATGCACCACATAGGAGATGCTCAATCAATATCTGTTGACTGTTCTTATTAGGATTACTTGGACACAAAAGTTATAAATCTAAATCAAATCACTGTGTAAAGGAAGGCTTGGTCAACATTCTAAGGTAATACCAAAGTGAAGCTAAGATACAGAATTTCAAAGGAAATACCTGAAAACTTGTTATATAATTCTAATCGCCCCCTAACCATAAAAGTAATCTATTGTCAGAGGTGAAGAGAGGATTTGAAAACTTTCTTTGGGGAAGCTATGTTATGAACCACTTCCCTTAAAGGGCAGAATAGAAAGTCTTGTCTCTCACTCCAGCCTGACCAGAGAAGCTTAACATAAAAGTTCTTAGAGTATGACACCATCGCAGACTGCCTGGAACCCGCATCCCACCTCGTGGGCTGTAGAATAGAGTTGTGTCAGAGCTGGTCTGCAATCCCAGAGTCTGCAGCAAAACAGGATGCATGAATGAGCTAGGATGGGGTCTTTAGACCCTTCCTTAAACACTGCCTGTAGGGCAGTGGCCCTTAGGTGCCAAAGAAGAGGCAGTCATCTGGATTCCCAAGAGTTGCAAGAGTGAACCGGCAAGGTTAGGCAAGGCCCTCAACACTGACAGGGACCTCCAAAACACCCTCAAGAGCACCCACATTCCCTAAGAGCTATGGTAGACACGGGCAGGTCCAGAGAATGCAAACACTATCCCAGGTTTTCCGGTCCATGTTCTCTGTCTCCCTCCCACAACAATCCCAGGGTTCAGAAACAGCAGCCAGCAAACTGGAGAAGTAGGTAAAAAGGCAAGTCAGCAGCTGCCTTCTCCTGGCCACACATGTACAGGTACTGAGTTCTAATGCGGGAACTCTGAATGAGTTGAAAGTTACAACTATTAAGTAAGACAGGATGCTCTAATTCTGGAATTGGCAACCCAATGCAACCATAGACCATGGAATTTGTATTTCCTCAGAGATATCAAAAATTTCACTGGGCAGCTCGAGATGCGCCAAGGGAGAGAACAAGTCAGCATCTCCTGAGGATCACTTATGCTGGAATTTGGGGGACCAACTAAGAAAGCAACGAGCTAGCCTCTAATAAGTGGTGTGAGCTGCACATGCACCAGGAAGCAAATAAGTTACTGTGTCCTGTGAACTTACTGGCGTGCAGGCTGAGAATCAAATGTCCCGTGCCTCCCCTTAGCAACTGGGTGGTTTTGAGGTCAGCCACAGTTGATAGCAACTAAGGCACATAAAGCAACTAAGTGCTTGTATTGTTTGGGTTATTATGCTGACCTGAAGCCAGAGGTCTGAGCATCTCTTGGGAGGATGACAGTAAGCAATACAGCAAATATTCGGGATTTCCTTCTATCTTGTTTTTGAAGGCCAATATTGTTTTCACTGTTTTGCTTTGTTATGACTGTTTTGCTCTATTCAATATTCGGTTTTGATTGGTTTTATACTGTTCTGTTTTTGGTTTGATTTTTGCTATACCTGATTGAATGGATAACTATTGTGATGATAACAAGATATACTATGGTATCTATTACTGTTATCCTGAAGTTCTGTATCAATTTCACTGCATTGTCTTGATTGGCTTTATTCTATAGTGCTTTGTTGTATTTTACTATCAAAGAAAGAAAGAAACAAAGAAAGAAAAAGAGAAAGAACGAACAAATTTCAATGAACTTCCATGCTGAAAACAATGTAAGTGGCCAGAGGAAGCCAAGTGAAGGTGATTTCTGTGATTATTTGCCATAAAACCCAGACATACAATGTACTGGTTGTACTAACTATAGTAAATCAAGCAATTTAATGGTTTGCATAACCAAACTGTGGGAAGAGCCAGAGCATGGAGGGTTTCAGCAATTACAGAGGGTGACCAGGATGTCATCAGGTCTCTTCCACTGGGTTTTCTTTCCCCAACTTGAGCTGTCTTTGTAACTTTGGGAACACGGCCACTAATAGCTAGTCCGTATGCATCTTTAACATTGTCATAGAAAAGAGACAGTGACATGTCTGATGGCAAAACCATCAAACTAGGTTGGTTGGACTCTTTCTCTGAAAAGAAAAATTGCTGAAGAACTAGACCATTTGTTCTTACAATCTGGATTCACTGGAATTGCCCTTCATGTCCCTTCTGGATGCCAGATGTGTCGGTGTCAGTTTAATTCTGAGGGCCTCAATTTGATTATGTGGGTATTTAGGTTCTTTTGCTAAATCCCATTAACTTAGCTCAAAAGAGTTCCTATTGCTTAAACATTCCTGACATGCATTTAAGTCCTCTAACGGGTGGAGTTTGCCTCTGTAAATCTAGCACGTAATGGGGTCTGATTCAGAGTCCATATTCCATAAATGAGTTCAATGAGTGGAGTGACCAAGTGACAAGAGGAACCTCGGCAGTAGCCATCAGACCTGGTTTGTCTTCTTCTGCCCTTGCAGTGAAGGGTAATGCTGGCAGTGGCAGCAATGGCAGCTGACAGCAACTGCCAGTCTAGATCACTAGCCTACCATCTTTCACAGCGCTGCTTCCCGTGCTGTGGCCATTCCTGGCTCCCAGTCCATCCAGGTGATTACATTACAATCACCTGCCCTTGCTCTCAAAAGCATATCACTACTGGGGGACATCCCTTGCTCTTCTTGGGCACAACTACCTGCTGTTCTATTTAATGCCCTTTCTACTCTGTTTCTGGATTTTGCTTTGGGTTGCCTTCTGAGGACTTTCAATTTGCCAAGATGGTTCATTCCATTCACTTGTTCATTC